AGGTATTCAGACAACGCATCCTTAAAAGACATGGCCGTTTGTTGAATTTTTTTGTTTCCCTACACGTTCGGCGGTGCATAGAGGGCTCCGATATGGTGAGAGTACTTCACAAAGTGTAAGGTTACCCCAGTGGCGGATTAAACCTTGAGAGCGCCGTAGGCAAGCATCTCATCGGCGCCGGCGCCTCTATATTAAAATATAGAATAGATTGACCAAAACCAATCCGGTCAATGCGACAAACATTGCAGTCGTATCTTTCCAACTTTAATCAAAGATCATGTACCATCGATAATGTTGTTTGCGGATGTAAGTATTAGTTAGTCCCATCCGTTAAATTTATCTTTTGTTATAAATTGTAGCAAATTGAGGTTGTAAGCAAAAATAATACTTACTGGGCCAACTAATTTTATACTATATTTTTTTCTTTTTTATTTTACAATTCTGCCCGCGCGCCCCTTTGTACCCTGACCCCCCTAGGCACGTGCCTAGTTTACCTTAAGGAAAATCCGCCTCTGGGTTGCCCCCATATGTTAATCTGCCGCGCTCGAGTAGTTCCAAAAATCCTTGCTTGGGCTTCCCTACAGTATATCAGGTTTCCGTTGTCACTCTTTAGGTAGAAATGAAACCAAGATGTATTCTATACTGGACATTTGTATACGGACTCTTGTCACTCTTGATCATTACAACGTAAGCCCCTTCGCATAAAAAGCTACGCTGATACCTGACTATTTTGGTACAATTATTTGTAGAGGTTCGTACACATGCACTCGTTGCCAACCAGAGACCAAAGTCGTCATGTCAGGTGTCGAAGATTTGCGCAGCGTTGTATACACGAAGGAACTAATATTAACACTAGTAGGTACGATACTTATCAAGTCTCAAAACAATAAATATATTTTTTTCCCTTGCAGACCTCTAACCCACGAAGAAGTATTGGAAGCCAGGGACGAGGTTTCGTGGCGTCGCGCCCGCTTCTGTATATTGTTCCTCTTCTGGTGCATTATGGCGATGTCGCTCTCAATCGTGACATGTATTCTGGTGACAGCATCTAAGTGCCGATCATATGACGAGGACATGTCGCTTCTGCCGTCCGTGCCACCCGTGCATATGTCACTTGCACCACTGGCGGCTAGCGGCAGAGCTGTGTACAACGATGGGGCGTTTACTGTGTAGGAATTATTTGAGCGTGATGCGATATTTATACTGCTGACCGCGCCTCAGTGCCGCTCATAGGACGGAAACATATATATGTAGATGCTGCCGTCCGTGCCGCCCATGTGTATATCGCTTACACAATTGGCGGCTAGCGGCAGAGCTGTGTATAACGATGCGGCTTCTGGTGACCGCGCCAAAGTGTTACCGGTCATACGACGAGGTCACATGTCGGTATAATAAGAAGGTCTTTGAGCAAAAGGTATCTGAGACCCTGATATTGCCTTGAGTGTAAATGAGGTCGCTCCGAGCTCCTCCCATCTGTTTCTGAAATTGTTCAACTGCCCCCCTCTGAACCCCTGTATAGAGTTACTGTTTGTATTGGTTGGGAGGATGAAAGGAAGATTTCTTGCATTTCCCTTCACCTTTACGCTTCCTACCACTAGGTGGGTAGTGGTGTTAGTTTTGGTTATCCAACACCGTCTTCCAGCCCGTATTCCACTGTTAATATTGCTTCGGGTATCCGAATCCGAGTTATGTCTTTCATGAATCCTAATACGGGCTAACAACTTAGTGTAATCGAGCCATTGCTCTCAATAAAATAAGTTTATGAAACATTGTTTTTTTTTACCTTTATTCTCAGACGAAGTTGAATAGAGTTTAGACTCCTGACTACCTATATGGATAGAAAATGATTTGGAACATTAATTTGTGTGATGAACAAAGACCGTTCCCTGGTCACAATTGAGGATCTGGCGAACAAAATGGTATCTCGTAAATACATAAAATAAAATTTTAAAGCTGTATAAAACTGAATGACGTACCTCCATTGAGCTTTTGGTATGGTTTTTAATATGTAAATTTAGTAATTTAAACGGTGGTTTTGATTGAAAATTATTTGAGATTCAAATTCAACGGGTCCGAAACCTCCGGACTGTAAAAAAAGGTAGTTTGAACAGATGAGAAATTATACAGTTTTGTTCGCCAGCTCCTCTTAATGTTTATTAACATTATGTAATAAAGCTAAATTGTGAAGACTATAAGAATGCTACCTGTGATGGGTGTGTAACTTTTTGTTTATAATAGTTAACATTAATTTATAATAAGTACTTATACCTATTTTTAAACAATGAGGAGACTGAAAATTCAAGAGAAATAAAATATATTTAATGTAAAATCTTTTTTATTCATATCATCACATTCCGATCCCACTTTGCTCTTGTTAAACAAGACAAAATGAAATGACAATACAAATGTAAAAAAACAAATACATACAACACATATCATCGTTGAAAAGTATCTTCTATTACAATTGCATAAAATAGAAAATAGTAGCACAAAGCTTAACACCATTGTAACAAAACTCTAACATAAATCTTTAAACTTTTTTGTAACAACAGGTTTTAAAAAGTGTCAGTTTGATTAGATATGCTGATAACAATTATTCAACATATTTATTAAAAAAAAACATAAACATTTATTATGATGCTGTCACTTTATGTAAAAACACTAGAATAAGACGCCATGTTATTTTAATTGACGCCTTTGAGTTCAGCTGTTACTCAACAGATTTATCACATGACTACACCTAATAATCAGAAGATGAAATGGTTAACCATGTTACCCAATATGTTAGGGAAATTGGGTTTGGTTGTATGTCATCACACATCATCGTTGAAAAGTAGCTTTTATTACAATTGCATAAAATAGAAAATAGTAGCTCAAAGCTTAACACCATTGTAACAAAAATCTAACATAAATCTTAAAAACTTTTTTGTAACAACAGGTTTTAAAAAGTGCCTGTTCCATTAGGTATTCTGATAACAATTATTCAACATATTTATTAAAAAAAAATGTCTGAGCTCCTTCCTATCTTCATACCAATATTCATCAAAATCGGTTCAACGGTTTCGTTGTAATTTTCGTAGACACCGTAATATAATGTACGTTCCAGTAAAAAATAGCAAAGTATGTACCATATTTATTTATAAATCGTTTATCAAACTTTATTACCTTGTTTGTTTGTCATTTATAAATGACAAATGAGTTCATTTATAATTGTCAAATGGGTTATCTCAATGATAATTACTCATGCTATTAATACTCATAATGAGCGTGCTAGCAATGTTGCAGAGATAGGCATTGTCCTAATACAACGCGATAACGCGAATGAGCGATGCGATCATCGTACGATTCAACGATCAAACATATTGTTCTAGAATAGGTGTCCTAATAGGCGATCGCGCGATGCATTCGCGCGACTAAAATGTTTAAAAATCTATTCGCGCGAACTTAGTTCACGCCAACGCGCAATTAAACCTATTAATGATGAATAGGTGTTCTAACTGAACATCGCGCGATGATCGCGTCGCGTCGATAGGAAGCGGGGAGAGGGGCAGGGCTAACCCGTTCCGTATTCGCGTTCTATTAGGACACCCAGTTCGCGATCACGCGATGGTCGCATCGCTTAATCGCGCGATGATCGCGTTATCGCGTTGTATTAGGACAATGCCTTAAAATCAACTATTTGCCGTTACGATAATAAATACTCAATATTCCTATCAATTAAAAAATATTAAATGTCCTCGACAGTTTAGTGTATAAAACCTATATTTAGCAAAGAATGTAAAATCTTATGGCCACCAATCATTTCATAAACGATGAAGTTCAGTATATTTACGTAAAATCGTTATGATATAAAAGTTTACCTATATGTAAATGAAAATATCTTATACCTATCCGATTTACAAAAAGACAAAAACAGTTTTTTTTAATTGAGGAAATCTGAAGAATCTTATTTGATAAAATGCATATTCGGTAAAAATACTAATATATTTTGTACATTATTTTCTTTATAAAAATAGATTATTTAACTGTAATCTTAACAAACTCTTTTCTCATAGTTTACATGAGTTTTCTAACTGCTTTCTAAAGTGAGATTTTGGTGTCATTGTAAATGCAATCTTAAATTAAGTACATTAGAGCACATGCTTGAATTTTTATGTTAGAAACGAAATTCACTACTTACAGTAACAATCTAAAAGTGATCATATGACGAGATGATTAACGGTATTAATTCGTAAAATGGAAAGACATAGATTTTCTGTAATTTGAATTAACATATTATAAACGTTGACTGATTCAGTACAAAATTTTCAAAGTATTTATACAGGCATTTTAGTACTGTAACGGTCGCACTCAGAAACTTCAATCAACTTTTAAACATTTATTATGGTGTTGTCACTTTCTATGTTTTTACATACACACTGGAATAAGACGCCATGCTATTTTAATTGACACCTTTGAGTTCGACTGTTACTCAACAGATTTATCATATGACTACACTTAATAATCAGAAGATTCAAGGGTTAACCATGCTAACCAATATGTTAGGGAAATTGGGTTTTGTTGTATGCATCATTATGTTTCAAACTGCTCAAACGGAGTTTTTGGCGGGATTTTGTTTGAGTTGGCGTCTTATTTTAATTATTCTTAAATTCCTTCATAGTTGGATATTGTGAAATTGGTGTGATTTTGTGTTACAACCATCTGCGCAACTGAAGAATTAGTGGAATCTTTAAAATATACGCTATTCCGGTTAAGTGGACGTGAGAACTTTATTGTAGTGTTGACTACTAGTCCAGTCGGAATAGCCATAATTTGGACCGACTTCTGTTCTAAGACACCAGCGCTTAGCCAATTTTTTCCTAGATAGTATAGACCCCCACGAATATGCCCTCCATTTGTCCCCGCTAGAACCCGTGTAGAACCCGAACCCAAAACACGGGTTCTAGCGGGGACAAATGGAGGGCATATTCGTGGGGGTCTATACTACCTAGGAAAAAATTGGCTCAGCGCAGGTGTCTTAGAATAGGTCTCATGTTTATTCCGACTGGGCTATACCTCACAGAAGCTTATCGAAAAAACCAACTCCATACATTTCGTGCTAAACACTCCAAGAAACAATAGAATGCGTCACACCGACATTCTAATGTAAAAAAAAGAAGATTAATATACGACTGAAGGACTTGTATCCATGGTCGTGAATAAATTATAAAAAAAAAACTGCTCAAACATAACTGTTCTATTTCGAAAACGCTCACAATTCCTTGAAAACCATAATAATGGAAACTACAAACACAGTACCTATATTTAAATTTATACCACAATTACATTTGGTATTTAGTCTGTATTCGGGTGCACGAAGGACATTACTCGAATTCGGGCACCCGAAGCAATATTTACACTGGAATACGGGCTGGAAGAAGGTGTCGGATGAACAAAAGAAAATCTACCCGAATACGGGCGCACTCGACTCTGTTCATTTACACTTAGCCATTTACCCGAATTCCATTGGCACTCTTATTCGGGCTAAAGACCAAGTGTAATCGCGTCATTAGATTAATTGTAGCGCTAGTTACAGAAATAAAAATCTAATACTAAGTGATAAGTCGACATAGAGAGTCTGGTATCGAATACAAAGCGTACAGTTGCGTCTCGTCGGATGACCTACTTTGATTACTTTGCTTGGCAAGTATTTCCAGCTGGTTCATAGCTTCTTCTAGAATTTTCTGGCACTTGGGGAAACTGAAAAAAGAATATACATATAGTGCATAGGTATTGAGTACTATAGTAATGAAAATAGTATGCGCTTGAAAAACAAAAATTCGTAAAGATCTTTATTTACTAGAGTTAGAAGGCGTAGGTAATTCAAAAGTGATGACTATTTTCGAATCGTTATTCCACTCTTTATATTTTAGAAAATTAAAGCATTCGTATGGAGTTTTACCTAAATGTTACGTCATACTGCTGATATTTAAACGTCAAACAGTACAAGTAATGTCACTTTAACCGGAAGTTTATTTATGTGTGACACCATTTTAGGCTCCACCAATCCTAGGCGTTATCGGTGACATATAAAGTATCAGTAAATTCATATAAAGTATAAAAATAATAAAAAATCGCTGCCACTATATATTTTCTTATTAATTTATTAATATAGATGCCAACGTATTTTGTTAATACTATCAAATACCATTTTTTCGTGTTGATCTGCCGAGTTCCTACCTAGACTGGTTTGAAAGCGGCCGCCAAGTCATCAGAATGCAGCGGCGCGGTGAGATGGGACGTCAACATTCGCACACAAGAAGCCTCGCAAGAGAGAGCTAGCACGTGCACTTTAACCCGCCCTATTACACTCTGTAGACCCAAGTTGACTAGCTGTATAGTAATCTGCGTGTTGATCTGCCTAGTACCTATGTATTAATACGTTAGCTATTGAAGACTGATTTGAAAGCGGCTGCCAAGTCTTCAGAATGCAGCGGCGCGGTGAGATGGGACGCCAACGTTCGCACACAAGAAGCCTCGCAAGACAGAGCTAGCACGTGCACTTTAACCCGCCCTATTAAACTCTATAGACCCAAGTTGACTAGCAGTATAGTAATCTGCGTGTTGATCTGCCTAGTACCTATGTATTAATACGTTACCTATTGAAGACTGGTTTGAAAGCGGCCGCCAAGTCGTCAGAATGCAGCGGCGCGGTGAGGTGGGACGCCAACGTTCGCACACAAGAAGCTTCGCAGGACAGAGCTAGCACGTGCACTTTAATCCGTCCCATAACACTCTGCAGACCCAAGTTGACTATTGCGGTGACATCTGCATGCCCCACATATAATCAACATGGAGGAAATAGTCACTCGCCTCCTCAAGAGATGGCGCCACCGGCGCTGCGCTTATAAACCTACATCGCGCAAAGGAAATTTGGAGGCTAACACTCCATATATATAATTCCCGACCAACATCAGTCGGGCCGCAGCCCCCGAGCTAACATCACCCAGCTCGGAGGAAGAACTTCCCCTTTCGCCTTCCTAAATTGACTAGCAATAGAGTACTCTGCGTGTTAATCTACCGAGGACCTATGTATTCATACGTTACCTATTGAAGACTGGTTTGAAAGCGGTTGCCAAGTCATCAGAATGCAGCGGTGCGGTGAGATGGGACGCCAACGTTCGCACACAAGAAGCCTCGCAAGACAGAGCAAGCACGTGCACTTTAATCCGGCCCATTACACTCTGTAGACCCAAGTTGACTAGCAACGACGTAATCTGCGTGTTGATCTGAGAAAAACAGTTTTTATCTAAATAATAGTTTTCTAAGAAAAACTTCCACGCGGACAACGCATTTTTTCGTTGACCGCACTTAAGGTAATTTATCTCGATACGAGGATAGAATTTTAAGATCCGTATAGTACGATTCAAATAAGAATTGGAGAGACAATTACCTCCATCTGTCAAATGTTGCTTGAAAAGTACGGTTTGCATAAAAATCTTGGAACCCTTTTTTAGCTCTCAGCTAATTCTAGAATAAAAACCAAACATTTGTAAACAAACAATAACAAGTATTGATAATTAATATTGGTTGATTTTTTTTTTCATTAATTACCTTTGGCTATGAATGGTTGATAAATCGTCAAATAAATGTCACTTTAAGTTGCGTTCAGAAACTCGATTTAAAACTTTCGTTTACATAAAGGATGCATGTTCGTATGTGACCTAGCAATAGTGCATGGTTATTCATAACTACTTCGGGGGTAATGCAGAGATGAGCGGAATTGAAGAGCTAGATTCTGATTAATGTGTTTTCTCACACAGTGGAGGCGCCTAAACCCCCATAACTTGGGTTGCGGGAAAATAATAATTTTTCGTGCTCAATACTTATATGGAGAGGCTAACCCTAGGCGTAGGTTAATAGTGGACTGTATCTGGGGGGCGGTAATACACAATCATATATTATTAAAAATACAAAATAAACTGCGCCTTGCAAATGCCTTATCTATTTAAGGACGAAGAAAATGGTTGAAGACTTGGAGACAAAGGAAAGGAACATGCGCACTTACCTCAGCACACCATCCGTTTGGTCGCAAGTCATCCTTCAAGCACTTATATCGAAAATAAATCGTTTGCCGGCACAGATTTTGTATTTATATAAATTGCACAATGTAAAATGTTCACTAATAGTATGATCGCACAGTAATTTTTGGATACTATATCACAACATGTGTGTCTTCCATTACAACGTTCACAAGAGAGAGGTGGAAAAAGTATAATGTCCTATGCACTCCGCGGTGTCGTCGAAAGCAGGACGGCCATAGCTGTGCACATGTATGAAAAGGATGGGAGACAGATTGGATTAAGGCAATTGCAAGTGCATAAACTACCCTATAATGAAATTATTAAAAACCCGCAAAATACGAAATCCAACATCCCCCCGGCCTTGAAGAAACCCTTCAACAAAGGGAAAATTAATCCGCATATCGTAGCATAGCGGAGCGGTTAAATATATTAAGGCGAGTAGCGAGTAAAAAAAAATAAAAAGTAAACTAAACTAAAATGTATTTGTCTAAGTGACAACGTAAACTAAATAAATAGAACTAGTCTATGACTCTATTGAGTCGGAAGCGGGCATAGCCGCACAACTGGACGCTTGTAAACGCCAGCCTTTGTTTTTACTTCCGCAACGCGAATAATTCCATCCCTACCAGGGTATAGACAGGTTACAATTCCTAAAGGCCACTGTAATGGTGGAGCGTTATCAATATTTAACAACACTATTGTGCCTACCGTTATAGGATTCGAAGGAGTATTCCATTTTTCGCGCGATTGCAAATTATGTAAATATTCAGATTGAAATCGTTTCCAAAACGATTGCACCAACTTATCCATTAAAGAGAAACGAGACAATAAATGCAATCGCTGCTCGGTCAAGTCAGCCGCGGGTAAACATTCTAGTGGAGCGGTACATAAAAAATGTGAAGGCGTAAGTGCAAGCGGTTCTGACGAATCGGAACTTAAAACATAAAGAGGCCGGCTATTAAGAATCGCCTCAATTTGAGTGAGTACAGTAGACATCTCCTCAAACGTAAGGATTTGTTTACCAATCACGCGAAATAAAAGTGACTTTACGCTCTTAACGTTCGCTTCCCATATGCCACCAAAGTGACTAGCCGTAGGCGGGTTCATACGCCACGTAATGCGGTGCTTCGCGAGCTCACTATTAAATGTTTTATAATAATCATCAGAGAGTAGAAACTCGTAAAGTTCATTAAAATAAGCTTTCGAAGCGACAAAATTCGTGCCGTTGTCGCTATATAAAAAATTACAAGAACCCCTTCGCGAAACAAAGCGCTTAAACGCATCAATAATTGAAGCAGAAGTTAAATTTGAAACAAGTTCTATGTGAACTGCTTTAGTAACTAGACATATAAATATACATATATAAGCTTTTACGCTATGAACACCACGTTTACGGTACGGCGTAATATAAAGCGGACCAGCGTAATCTACGCCCGTATGTAGAAATGCATTACATTTTTCTAATCTACACTTAGGCAAATCTGCCATAGGCGGAAATGTAGGTTTGGGGTTCAACCGGAAACAAATGTTGCATAGATGAATGCGTTGACGAACAATACGTCTAGCTGAAATTATCCAATATTTGGATCTTAATAAGGAAATTAATAACTGCGGCCCAGCATGGCAATTATTTACGTGATAAAATTCAATTAATAACTCAGTAATACGTCCATGTTTAGGTAATAAAATCGGGTGTTTAGATGAATAATCTAATGTCGAATTCGATAAGCGACCTCCGACGCGTAAAAGTCCGTCACATAAAAACGGAAATAATTTTCGTAACTTAGGAGAACACGGCTGGCCCTTTGCGATGCATTTTATATCATCAGAAAAATATTGTGTTTGAACTGCGTGAATAATTTTTAACTCTGCGATATTTAAATCTTCAGCGGTAATAACGTTGTTCCGCGGGAGCCTTTTTATAAATCTAAGCGCATATACAGTTGACGAAATAAGCTTTCGCCAAGTGGAACACTGTGAAGCTAATTCTATAAGAGGATGATTAATTGCAGTAACTGCTGTCACGTGAGAAACGGTTTTTTCTTCCGGTAACAATAACTGATTTGATATAAACTTTTGTATAGGCCAGTCGTTGATAGGCAAAGAGAGCCAAGGCGGGCCCTTAAACCAAAGCTCATGCCGAATGAGCTGTAAAGGTGAGAGCCCACGAGACATACAGTCTGCGGGGTTTTGTAGGCCAGCGACGTGATATAAATTATCAGTGGAAATATTTTCTTGTATTTGTGAAATGCGGTTAGCAACATAAGTGTTAAATCTATGCGGTGAGGAAACCGACCAACATAAAGCTACTTCGGAGTCCGAAAATGCAAAAATATTATCAATTTTGTGTCTCGCAGACAAAGTGTCATATACAGATTTAAGAAGTCGCGAAAGTAAAAGTATACCATTAAGTTCTAAACGGGCTAAAGTTATTTTTGGTTTTGCGGACGCGACACGTGACTTTGAACATACTAGTGAGACAATAGGGCTTTGGTCTCCATTTACGACGTGTAAATATATTACACAACCGTATGCGGATTCACTAGCGTCCGAAAAAGCTACTAAAGAAACTTTTGAGTATTTTTCAATACCAAAATGGCGCGGAAATGATAAATTTGAGATCTGCGGAAGTTCACTTAAATATTTTTGCCAAAGATTGACAATGCGGTAGGGAGGTACGGCATCCCAATCAAGGTTCAGAAGCCAGAGTTCTTTTATTATTAATTTAGCGTAAAGAATAACAGGTCCAACGAGCCCTAGAACGTCGTATAGACGGGCGGTCGCGGACAAAATAGTACGTGTACGCGACGACCGAAGCGAGAGAAAATGAACTTACAACGATACGAGAACAATGTATAAAAATGTATCTATAATTTCACATGAATTAGTTGTATACGCATTAAAAATATCATTCCCTTGTTGTCTTATTAGAATGAGTCGGATATCGCAACAATAGATAGCTCTGCCCATAGTAAACCATTGTAAAATTGATAGTTCAGAGCGATATTCCGCCCCGTTCTCTCCAATAATCTTATAAGACTTTATCTAAACGATCGCCACGACGCCAAGCGGTGGCGCGGGGAAACTAGTCAGAATACTGATAGTTCCGACCTATAGGAGGGACGGAGACAATAGGTTGTCCTTGTCACACGTCTTATAGGATTTTGCCTGAGTTGACAATTTTCGATAATAGTATGTTTTATGTTTTGATTGATTTATTTTATGTCTTATTAGATAGTAGGTAGTTATAGGAATAATATATCAAAGTTTTGTATGAATCGTGTTAGTAGTTTAAGCGTAATTAAGGAAAATATCGGGAATAGTTTTTTATGAATAGTCAATAGGATATAGGTATAATTGTTATAATAATGATGTCATTTTATGTGTTTTTACTTCTTCTTTAAAATGGTGTATGATAGTTAAACATTAAGGGAGAATAAGTAGGTTTTTTAAGACTTTTTAATTTGCAAACTTTAAAGGGCCGTAGAGCTGTTGTTTATTAATATTCTTGTAAGAAACTTGTTGTATTAGATAAATAACACGTAGGGCTACGTAAATAAATAGGTATCGCATCAATAAGTGTAAAAATGTACTGTGTAGGAGAAAAAACATGTTTGTATAGAACCGTTTTCTGAGACATGTCGCGCTCCCCACCCGGCGCGCCCGGAGCGCGCGGGTGGGGCAGCGAAGCCCCGTGGCAGGGCGAAGCCCTATGGAGGGGGAAAGTATAAATATTGCGGAGACCTATTTTTTGCGCGCCACACCTAAAATATCGTGTTTACGGACACATAACTATGTTAAAAATATGCCCAAATGTATGCCCGATGTATGTACAATTAGTTTTAAGCTCGCACTATTGTAAATCTTGAGAAAATGAAAAATAAAGTATAGCGTGGGTGAGGTAATGGATCGCTGGCCAGCTCAGTCCTAGCATATAAAATTCGAGTCGGAACATGCCCCGACATGCATTCAGCGACAGGCGCTCCTACCCTAAGGAACAGGAAGAAACAACCAAGCGGTTCACTCTGGACCTGAAGCCTCCTCTCACCGGCCATCCATTATCAGCGCCCACCGATTTCTTCAATACCGAACACCAGGGGTTTTATTCGCCGAAACTACAGTCCACTACAGTCAAGACTCCTGCGTGTAACTTCCTCCACCCCCTCAGTACGAGTCGGTAACTGTCCGCTACTGCGACAGCCCGG